AATATTTTTATACCTTCCATCTTTTGTACAAATTAAAATTAAAAATTAAACTTACAAATAAAAGAAATAATTTATAAAAAAATTTAATAATTTAATAATATTTTTTTATATAAAATAACTTAACTTATATATTATAAAATTTATAACTTAAAGTTTAATATATAAATAAAAGTAGTAAAAAATAAAAAAATTTAATAACTTTTTTATATTTTATTATATATAAACATTTTTTAAATATTTTATAAAAATTAAAATTTAAGACTTTATTTATAAATAAAAGTAATAATATAATAATAAATTTAATAATTTTACTAAACTTAATACAAAATTACTTAACCATTTTAAAATAAAAAAGAATATTTAAAGTTAAATTTATAAATAAAAACAATAATAATAACATATTTAACAAATTTTTTATATTTTATTATCTATAATTACCCCTTTTATATTATATAAATATTAAAATTTAAAGCTTAAGTTATAAATAAAAATAAATATATAATAATAAATTTAATAATTTTTTTATATTTAATATATAAAATTTAAAACTATAAATATTTATCGTAAAATTTTTAACTTATAAATTATAATATAACGTATACATCCGCGGTATAAAATAAATATAATATAAAAATTAATATATTTAATTAAAAAACCTTAAAAAAGATAAATCTTTTCTTAAATTTATATAACAAATTTACAAATAAACTTACATTATATAATTGCCATATTTACATATACATATAAGACATATTTAATTAAATTTAATACTTTTTAATATTAAAACATTTAGATTAATTAATCTTTTATTTATTTACAATAGTTATAATAGCAAAAATGGTATAATATATAATAATTTGGTAATATATATTAAAATAACATAAAAATAAACTATAATTTAATTAATATTAAATAATTATACATTTTCGGGATAGTTAATAATATATATTTTATATTATAATATATTATTAAACGTTAAAAAATAATTAAAACATTTATATATTAAATTTAAAATCGATAATAATGTAAAAGATATTTCGAATTAATTTTCGAACGGATATTATATAATATTTAATTAAAAAAAGAAATTTATAATAAATTATTTATTAATAATTTTTTAAATATTTTTATTAATTCCTTTTTTTACATTTATTTCGATACTTATTTTAACATTTTACATAACACCTTTTTAAACATTTTATACTATAATATTTTACTTATTATTATTTTAAATTTAACAATAATACTTTTTATTTTTACCTTTTTAATTTTAATATAATTTAATTTAACCTTTTTATTATATAAAAATTTTAAATTTAATATAAACTTTACAACTTTTATTTTATATATTAAAAAATATGGCGTAAATAAATAACTTTTAAAATAAAGTAATAAAGTTGTTATAATAAAAATTAAAGTTAATATTATTAACGTAAAAATCAATTTCCTTTTTTATAATTATATATAACTTATTATATTATTTATTAACGCTTATATATAAATCTTAAATAAATATAAATATAACCGAAAAAATATTGTTAATATTTTAAATTTTTTAAGTTTATAAACATTTTAAGTATTTTTATTAAATATATTAATTAAAAAGGAAAACTGGTAAATTTTTATTATTACTTTTACATTAACCATTTAAAAATAAATAATTTAATATATATACTAATATAATATTAAATATTAATAATAATTAAATTATTATTATTTAAAAAAAACCTAAATAATATATTAATATAAAAAAATAAATTTAATTACTCGTTTTATAAACAATTATTAAAGTTATTTAACTTTAAATCCAAAAATTTTACAACCAAAACCTTAATACCTTTAATAAAAAAAAAGGTTTAAATTAAATTATAATTTTACCTTAATTGTTAAAATAATTTATACTTATTTAAATTTGCCAAAAAAAAATCTTATTTTTTTTTTTTTTTTATTTTTTTTAATAATAAAGTTAAAAAACGCCATCCGTAATTGGCCAATAATAAAATAAAGTTATAAATAAATTAATATATTTATTATACCGGTTAAATTATAAATAAAATTATAAAAAGTTTTTTTATTACAAAAGGTAATAAAAAACAAATCCCGTTATTATAAATACCTTTTTTAATAATTATTTCAATAAAAAACTTTTACTTTATAAAAATTGGAAATAATTTTATTTCGGATATTTTCGAATTATTATTTAAAAATTTTCGAAATAATATAAAGTAGTTAATAACGGATTAAGTAACGTTACGCAAAAAATTTTAAGGTATAAACTTTAAAAGTTTTTTTATAATTAACAATTCAAATAATTATCCAAATATAAATATAATTTCATTTTAATTACAAAAATATATTATTATAAATAATTTGGTAAATATTATATTTTAAATATTAAGTAAATTTTTTAAGTTAAGTTTATTAAATTTTATTTTATAAAAATAACAATTAACAGTAAGTTTAAAACGAAAAAAATCGGTTTTTTATAAATAAAAAATTGATTGTAAATTGGGTTAAATTAATGTAATATTGTTTATATTAAAATTAAATAAAAAGTAAAAAATACTTAAATTAATATTATAATAATACCACTTAATTATTAAATTAATTTAAACCAGATTATTTCTATAAATAAAATTATTTATAAATTAAAATATGTTAAAAATATTATTAAACAAAAATATCTTAGTTATTAAATTAATTTAAATAAAAGTAATAAAATTAATATAAAAATAATAACAATTAATTGTTAAATTAAATAAAAAAAACCTAATATTATATAAAAAAATAATAAACCTTAAATTTAATAAACTTAAAGACTTAAAATTTAACAATTTTATTAATATTAATAACGTACTTTTTAACGTAAGTATTAAACCATTAAATACTTGTAATATATAAAATATTATAACAACGCTTTAATCACTTATACAAAAAAAAATTACACGTTTTTAAAAGTATAAAAAAGATAATAATTATATAAAAAAAAACGCAAATTAATAATTAAATTTATTTTAATATATATTAAAATATTTTATTAATTATTTTTATACTTTAAAATAAAACGTTATTATATAAAACAATAAACGTTAAATAAAACGTTAAATAAAAAATAACTTTTTTTATTACAATATAAAATAAATATTTTAAAATTAAAATATTAAATAATTAAAAATAAAAATATAATAAATATTTAAATATAAAATTATAATTAAAAATTATTTATTAAAATAAAAATTATAAGGTAAAAAAATAAAAATTAAATTTTAACTAAAAAGTTACTTTTTTAAATATAAAATAAAAAAATAAAAATCACATTTTAATTAAAAAGTCATTTTTTTAATATAAAGTTATAAAAAATTTAAAATAAATAAATAAATATAATATAAAAATAATTTATTCTTTTAAATAAAAAAATTATTAATATATATAATAATAAATAATTATATATTATATAATATATAAAATAAAAATTATTTAAAAAAAAATATGTAGTTTATATTTACCGAAATTTTTCCGATAAAGTTATTTTAATAAAAAAAATATATAAATTTAAACTATTGTGGCATTTTAAAAGGGTGCCCTTTTGTTGTGTTAAATTTTTTCCATGGCCCAAATAGGAAAGTAACTCAATGGGCAGTATATGGCACGTGCGCAATTATGTAAACTCAGGCATATTGTGCAGCCCGCAAGGCTGCCTCCAGTTCTCATGTCATGCAAAACTCTAGCTCTGTCTCCCTCTAAGGAGGTCGAGGTACTCTAGACGTCTAAAGCGCCATAGATGCGCCTTGCTGTAGTTACCTAGCTATAGCAAAACCAATAGACGTTAACGTTCTCATCATCATCATATAGAGAACTCTTCGTAGCACTTCTACGATGGACTCAGGATTCGAAGATATTATTGTGTGCATCAGGGCCTAAGCTAGCTGATCAGCCCTCTTGGGTCCCAGACTGGAACTTTGGAAGAAAGCGGCAATGGTTCAACTCGAAATACGCTGAGATTGGAAACGATTATACTGACACAATGCAGCTCCCCTCTGAGTTGTTTGACATGAGTCTTTTAGGTCAGCGAGGATATGCCGGTACCAAAACATCGGGTTTATGTCATATCAACGAGGACCTCATGGTCATATATGTTCAGGGGGTTGTGATTGGGACAATCCTTTGGGCAAGTGACGGTTTCAGAGAAACTGCTAATGAATATCGTGCCGTAGCGGATGACACTCACTTACGGAATATTTCCGTTTTCCGAGACTTCTATTCGTGCCCAAGCCAGTCATTATTAGTACCGCCCGGGACACTTTTCAGAACCTTCAACGGAAGTACCTCGTCACTATTTTGGGCAATACAAACAATGAGTAGTCTCCCCCCAAATGTGATCCTATCGACATTAAAAAAGGAGGGTTCTGTATAACTATTCTATTTTTGGAAATTATGCCATGAGTTTGCTGTCACTCAGAGGTCTTTGTTTAGAAGCTCTTCTGTTGTGCCGTCTCAGGGAACAAACTTTTACGGGCACTGCCCGCAAACTACCCAGGTTGGGGATATTCTCGTTATCCTCAAGGGAGTCGACTTTCCTGCCGTTCTACGTAAACAAGATAAGAGTCAATATAGACTAGTGGGGTTTGCTATGGTTGACGATTTCAAAGTAATGGACGGTCGTGTATGGGCTGAGATGGCAAGTGAAGGCGTAGAAGAGTTTGAGATCGCGTAAATCGTGAACGTATGTTTCATTAGTAACGCCACAATTTCGTCGGCCGATCATGTCATGAGAATTGCTCAAGGTTATGTACGAAGCATGATAGCAAAAGCAAACGCACGGTGCCCATGGCATTTGTGTCACCAATATTACGCCACCTGGGAGCAAATTATGGCGCAGATCGAGATCACACAGTTGCAACTCCAATGAGAATAGACACCTTATATACTACATTTTAGATGGGCGGCAGCTTACATTACCTTGGCTGTAACCTATCAGTCTTGCACGTAGCATGCCAATATGAGACGCTGCCTTAGGTACTTATAATATCGGGATACACAGATCCTTCTCGGAAAAGCGGCAGGCAAATGCATGTGTAAGACCTTGTTTTGTGCTGGTACAAGAATGAATGCCAACATACGAGAAATGGCGTAGCAATACAACTTTACAATAGCTAATCTATTAACATTTGGCTTATTTAGTTAGTAATATCATCCGTCCTCACTTCTGCCCTCCACCTAGTTCAGCATTTCTAGCATACAAGTCTAAAAGCCTTTGGTGTAGAGTAGACAGAATGGCTCTTGATAAGACAGGATACCCTCCTCTTGACTTTAATACATTCTACAATGTAATCGACGGAGAACTTTCATCCACCCCGAATAACGTCCGTTACGGCATAAATCCTATTACTTTGGAGAACAACCCGGCAGTTCCAATAAGTTCATTACACGATGTCAACCGAGCTGTCGAAGCAGCCGGGAGAGCAGCAAAATCATGGGCCGAGGTCCCCTGGGACAAACGTGTGAGCGCGATCAGAGAATACGCCAATGCCATCGAAGACAAAGCCGAAGACTTTGTCCGGATCCTAATGAAGGAGACTGGTAAGCCTGTGAGTGTATCTCCGGTGCTAGATCCGGGCGAGCCCCTTGCTACCGTATGTGAGCTTATTGTGTATCGATAGGTCAATTTGGCGCGAACCGAAATCAGTACATGTGTTCAATATCTCAGGGAATTCTGCCAGCTATCCCTTCCTAGCGAAGTCATCGAAGACACCGAGGAACGCAAAGTTGTTACCCGATACGTACCTGTTGGTGTTGTGGTCGGGATTGCCCCTTGGAATTTCCCTGTTCAAGTCTCATGTATGAAGATGACGCCTGCTATACTAACTGGCAACGCCTATATATGGAAGCCATCTCCCTATACGCCTTACTGCAGCCTTAAGTTTGCCGAATTGGGTCAACGCTTTTTCCCTCCCGGTGTGCTCCAAGCCTTGAGTGGGGATAACGATTTGGGGCCTGTAAGTGGCATTTCACACTAGATAATCATTCCCCCTATACTACAGATTGTCCTTTGGAGAACCTGTTCCGAGCTCCAGCAAGCATGCATTGACTTCGAGCACCGCAGTTACTAACCGAACATCCGAATATTCAAATGGTGAGCTTCACTGGTAGTACTTTGGTGGGGAAAAAGGTAATGGAGTCTTGTAGCAAGACATTGAAGCGAGTGGTACTGGAATTAGGCGGTAACGATCCAGCTATCGTTTGTGCTGATGTCGATCCTGCCTCTGTAGCGAAAAGAATCGCCTCTATTGCTTTCTGTCACTCGGGCCAGATATGCATAGCAACGAAACGAATCTATGTCCACGAGGCAGTTTATGACGCCGTGCTAGCTGCGATGGTCGAGTTTGTGAAAACCTTGAAGTTGGGCTCTGGCGAGGACGCTTATACAGGACCAATATCCACCATAGATCACTTCAAGTATGTCAAGGGCTTACTCGCGAGCGTGGAAAGCGCAAAGCTTACGGTTGCAACGGGGAGTACGAAGCCCCCATCCGATATGAGCGGTTACTACATTGTCCCAACAATCATCGATAACCCGCCAGATGACGCACGGGTTGTCATAGAAGAGCAATTCGGTGAGTTGCATCGCAGATAACTAAGATACGAACCTAGTACTAATACGATTCCCATGTGCAATAGCGCCTGTTCTTCCCCTGATGAGATGGAAAGATGAAGCCGATGTCATTTCTAGGGCCAATAACACCAACATGGGCCTTGGTGCATCGGTTTGGAGTCGAGATTTGGACCAAGCTGAGCGTCTGGGAAAGCAGCTTCAGGCTGGTAACATTTGGATTAACACACACTTAGAGATTCAAACCAGCACCCCATTTGCAGGCCACAAACAGAGCGGACTCGGAATTGCAATGGCAGTCGATGGTCTAAAGGCTTGTTGCAATGTGCAGAGCATATACACTCGCCCAGCCGATAGCACTACATGATGACAGAGCGACCATAACAGGAGAAGGATCATACACGTTCCCTTATTTCCTGTCTTAGAATTAGGTTATTTTTACGAGAGGGAGGTAGTATAAGTGTGTGTCATGTACCGCATGTTAAGTGGCTTAGAATACGTAAAAAACATGCACGTTATTCTCACTGATTATTGCTCTTCATCTAGCACATATCCAGACTTGGCAAGACATTGATTATGCGATTTTATATTACTACCCCCTAGGTGCTTCAGTGGCGTAATTTGGGGTGTATTATCATGAACTCCAAGCGCTGATTGACTTAATCTGGGCGAGTGTTGCTCACTAATAATCTACCAGGCCTAAGACAACCCAAACAGTTTAGTTTACTTAAAAGCAATGCTCATATTCGCCAGGTCGAATTTTAAACCGTCATAGTACTGTACCTAGAACGTTTCCCCCAGCTAGTCTAACTAGAAAGGTAGGAAAGGCATGGCATCGATGCAGAACTGCACAGAGGCAGCCTTACGAGTATCATAGGTACCCAGGTATATAATAACTTAAACGACAGCAGCTCTAGCTTGTTACAACATAACATTATTGCTATTATGAGTTTATGCCGTTTTGACTGAGGTAGCGCTACGGCACTATTTGCTAGCGACGACAGTCTGGAAGGAAACCAGCTGGTCAGACAATGGATAGCACGAACGGCTTCCACGGTAGCTACAATGATACAAGTCTAAGACATTTCCGATTTTGTTAGGTTATAACATGACCCGGAAGAGAAAAAAGGATCGTCATAGATCAAACCCCACCAAGTTAGCCCTTTGTATCGCCAATGCAGTCACCAAGTGACTATTCGAGGTGGTCTTTTAGTAAACTGCATGATAATTCGAACCTTCAACCTCAATCGCTACGCCGTTACGCACTTAGATATTAGCACCTTACGACTAAGTGTACGTACCTACGTAGGTACCAAAAACGCGATATAATGCAACTATCTTTGCCCTATGTAGTAAGACCGTCTCTAAGTACCTTGCTCTATCATTACTTTCTACTAACAGAAAAACAGCGAATATGCCTGGACCAATGTCTCTAACTGCCGAGGAGGTAGCTCAAATGCTGTCACGCTCTAATGATAACATGGCTCCTAACATCATCGCTTGCTGCTCAATTTCCCTGTCTGTCGCTATTGTATCCGTTGGTCTGCGACTCTGGTCACGAAGAGTGCTCAATGGTAGATTCCATCTCGACGTGAGCGACTGGCTCGCCATGACGGCTTTGGTGTGTAAATCCCTTTCCTTGTTCCCGAATTTGACATGTAGTAGCTGATAGATTTAGTTCTTACACGTAGTTTATGTAACTAGTGTCATCATGACAACTCGCCACGGCTTAGGACGACATATGATATTTGCACACCCGCGCCTCATGAGCATCGTCAGTAAGCCTCCTTTTTATGTTACTTGTGTTATGTTATTTCTTTACCATGTTCATATTCTCCGGATGTACTACGCAAGCCAGTGCCACCTTAGAGAAAAGCGGTCACGATATGCTCACTGACTGAAGTAACAATCAAGTATACCATAATCTCCGAAAATTTATACGCTTCAATATTAGCTCATCTGAAGTATAGTGTGTTATGTCTTTATAGGAAAATATTTTCATCTTCACCACGATTTTGCCGATGGACTTGGGTTGTAACCGCCTTGGTAACCGAATGGCTGCTCCAAGTTATATTGGCTACTAACCTCCAATGTATTCCTATCTCGGCCATGTGGGATCCAACAATACATGATACAAGCACCTGTATTAACTACGGTGTCGAGGCGCTAGTAGCATATATTATTAATATTGTTACCGACTTAACAATTATCGGCATGCCCATTCCTCTAATTATAAGACTCAATACATCAAAATCGCAGAAGTGCAGGTTGATTATTGTTTTTGCTGTAGGGGGGAGGCGAGTTAATTGTTTCCTATTATGTTCCGTTCGTTCTTCTCTAATTCTTCTTTCAGTGCTTGCATAGTCAGTGTGGTCCAGCTTAGATATGTTACCAGGCTGGGGAATAGCTCAGACGCGAGTTGTGAGTAGTTCTGTGCGTACCCAGAAGCCAATGCTTCACAGCCTATCCGAATATTTCTAACAAAATAAAACAATATTTAGGGGACTACGTGCTATTGGCCATACTTGCCTTGATAGAGATCATGGTCGGCTTCCTTGCCACGTCAATTGCAACATATCGACCTCTCTACCATCTTATCACTAAGGGGTCAACCACCGAATACATTGGAGATAGCCATTCAACCGACAGGGTGACGGACGGCCGAGAACGGCCAACTCAAAGGGCCCAACTAAGCACAGATATTCGAGGAGGTGTCGAGTCGAGGCTAAACAGCTCTATAGAGCCCCCTCCACAAGGGATTTGTGTAACCATAGATGTCGAGTTGACGGTGCAGGACAGCGTGCAAGGTCCTTGGGTAAGAACTTACGATAGAGTAGAGCCTCTTGATAGGGGTCATATTGGATAAGAGAACTAGGTAGTCAGTATTATAATATCACAACTGACACATCGGCTATTCTGACAGTAAACTGCAATGTAGCTTTCCCTATAATTCATAGATATATATATATATATTTTTAACTAATATTCACAGAACTTCAGATGAAATAAAAAAAATAAAATAAGATATAAAATATTTTATTAATAAAAACAAGGCAGCCGGCACGAAATCTAATGCAACCAAACGTGTCGAGCTATAATTAGGCAATTACCAACCAATGGAACCGTGCATAAACGGGACACTATCTTACGTCTTTCCTCGTATTAATATAAATACTTGCGCTTCTCGACGCATGGATATGGATACATATTATCCGGTAAGGCTAGATTCTTGACTTACAGGTTAGTAACTACCTACCTACCTACCTAGGTACATACCTACGTAAACCTAAATGTCGCCCAATTGAGACGTCGCATTCCGACCTTGCGACATTATAGTTGGACGCTGTATCCTCCAAGTAACGTGCCATAGCATAGCTCCGTACCTTCCATGTGGTTTTATCAATACGAATAGACCTATTATAGAGTTAACCCTTTCTCGTATAAATACGCTCGCACCTTCACGTTTACTTTACTCATAGGTAGCTTAGGTGCTCTTCCGTACATAATCTTTGGAATAACTGTATTGCGTATTCAAATACTTTCTACTTTCGAATCAAATCATTATTTTCACCTCACCAGTATATCAACTTATATACTTACGCCATAGCCATGCGAGCCCTCACAGCTTTACTCGTCGGCCCGGCCGTCACTCTCGCAGCAGCCATCATACCGCGCGATGGGCCCGTCCCAGAAGGTCCCGTACGTAAAATAAATACATTACCTACCAAGTAACTACCTAGCTACCTCCTAAGTACTGACTCTCACAAGTGGACTGCTGGCGTCTGGAGAATGCCCGCCGAAGACAACGCCGTTTTCACCGGCGACGCCATCAATGCCAGCGGCGGAAAGTTCTACGTCAACAAGAACACGTCCGCCTATTGTCCCGGGGATGTAGCAAACCTCGACTGCTCTCTGTATCCGGGATCCAAGACCGTATTCGCAGGCGGCAATAACACTCTATTCCTAAGCGTTGGAGTTCCGGGCGGACAGCAAGGTAAGAGATGCTTATATTTAGTATCCATGCTTCAACGTTCGAGATAGCTAAAACATACCACGTACCTAGTCTATATCGCAGCAGATGGCTCGCTGTCATACACTGTACCGCATTCTGGGGCGCTGCCCGAGGGATCCGTTTCCACCGGCTTCGAGAGACAGCGCAGCGAGTCGTTTGGAGCTCCTGTAGTGTTAGGAAACGCCGGCCAGTTATGGCTTATGTGCCCAGTTAGCGAGGGTGAGCCAAGAGAGAGAACGTATCAGATGTACGTCGGTCACGGACCCGAGGGCTGCTTAAATACCGGGGTAAGGACTTACACGTCCTCTGGACCGGATGCTTGGGAATACACATAATCAACCCATGATTAGTGAATATTCAGACTATGGATAAGGGCGAAAACCTAGGAGAGGACACTCAGCAACCCGTCACTAGGCCAAACTATATTATAGATAGTCAAAAAAACACGTTCATCACCTGATACTATGTAACTCAAACGCATGCATTTGGTCTCCGAGTGACTAGCATATAAGTGAAGTTCAAAGTTAGGGATTTTATTAGAATAACATCATAGGCATTTACGTGCCAATATTCGTATTGGGAACGATGTCTATAATTACCTAGATATCGTAGGAATATATCACCTAGGACTTTAAAACGGGTTTAACCTATGAGCTAACATGAGTAGATCAGAGGCGATATGTACACCTAAGGTATTGACTTTTACTCTAGTGTACCTGCATCTATCTCCTTTGCTTCTTAGCTTTACCATTCTGCCGCTGCTGCCCATCAGTCGCATCGGTGTCTGTTTTCCGCTTTTTGCGCCTCTCCTCAAGCAGCTGCTTCATTCCTGGCGTAGCCTTGTATCGCGGGTTCGAAGGATCAATAGCGAATTCATGGCTATCAAAGACAGCCTTGAATCGATCGTCTTTAACATCCATCTCGAATCCTTCTTGGAGACCGCCATGATCTTCCACTTCCTTCTTTCTCTTCTTGTGCTTCTTGGATTTCTGCTTTTCCGCGCGAGAAATTTCGTTCATGTCGAAATGGTCGAGATGCTCAGCAGCATCCTTGGAATCTTCAGCCATGAGTCGCTCCAAATGGGCCTTCTGGGCAGCATTCTCAACTGCTTCAACTTCTTTTGCTTCTCGCCTCTTGCGGCGTTCCTCCTTCTTTTCGGTATGTTTCGACTTTCTAACGGGCTCATCGGTTGTAAAGAAGGGGTCATCAAAATCGAGGTCATCCTGGGGTTGCTCGGCCTCATCATCATCTGTTTGGCCAGAACCTTCATCACGCTTCGTTACAACCTTCTCCTTCCTCCGAGCTTTCCTTTCTCGCTCTTTGCGCATGTACTTTTCAATAGTAGTCTCTTCGGCATCCGGTTCTTTCTTCTTTTTACCATCGTCCATTAGTGCGGCGGAGAATGTAACTTGCATATCTCCGACCGGACCAGATTTTGAAGGCCGCGACAGCGGTTCGGAGCTCAAACCGAGAGCTTCACGGAGTTTCTTTGCTTTCAACTCCCTTTTTGTCAATTTCGGCTGATCATCAGCCACTTCGGCCTGGTCCTCTTCTTCTTCACTCTGAGCATCCTCGTCGTCACTATTATCGCTTGCGAGATAAGCGCGCAGATCATTCTCTTCAATTTCTGCGCGACTACCACTGAATGCCCGCTTGATATCCTCTTTCCTAGTCATCTCTTCGGGATGTATATCCCAAGTCAGTTTAACTTTAGAATGTTGTAAAGCGTCAGTTGTGAATTCAGTTGGTTTGTAATCAGGCGATATGGAATCGCACTCATCCCTCGGCTCATCATCAAATGTGACATCATCAGGTATAAATCGCAAGTCCATAAAATTCGAAGATGACTGGTATTCTGTGCCATCTGTTGCGGCGTAGATCTTCTCTGCTGTCGCCGTATCAGAGCATACCATGACGGCATAATAGTAGCGCAACCGGTCCAGTTGGTAAGCTCGAAGTGCATCACTGTCAAAGTCTTGATCATCTCCTTCCTGAAGAATGTCGTTTTTTATCTTTTCGTCATCTTCCTCGTCGTCGTCGCCACTATCTTCGGAGTCAGGCTCGGATTCTTCGTCCTGGGACTCTGAAGCCTTCTTGAAGATCTCCCTAGGAGGCCCTTCCAACTCTTCCCGTTGCATTCTCTCCTTGCCAAACTCGCTCGGGTAGATAGAAACTCGCTCGATCCTCCCGCCTTTGGGTACAAAACTAGAGAAAAGAGCTAGCAAATCGGCAGACTTTATGTAATCCCAATCTAGATTAACGATTGCTATCCGTTTCGTGACCTCTCCCGTTTCGACGTCCGCTTGAGCGTCGCGCAACCTTTGCATACTCCCAGACGTAGCTACTTCGGCCTCCTCATCCTCTTCGTCTTTATCATCTTCGTCATCCTCGTCATCCGAGCCGGATTCAGAAGAGGAGAATCCACCACCACGAGCCGGGTCATATTTGGTATTGGCCTTTTGAAGTTCGCGCTCAACGACACGATCCTCATCCACTTCGGCACCCTCGTCATCATCATCGGCCTGGTATATATTTTGCAGGGCTTTCTTTTTATTATCTGACTTTAACTTGCGACCATATTTATCGACTTTGGCACTCGCGACGAAATCATCATCCTTCAGCATACGCGAGAAACGTTTGTCTATAGTAGTCTTGGTGCGACTCTTCGAGGGTAGACGGAAACGAGGGTCGGATTCGAAGTTAGCGAATCGCGAATCGCCTGTAGCAGACGGGGCGTCTTGCTTCTTGGACTGTTTTTTGGGCATCTTGAATTGATTGGCCCTTATGTAGTATGAGTACTAGGTACTATATCTTGTCTGGAATTGACTGATTGTAGGTTTGCGCATGTAAAGTTGCAAGTGTCGCAGACAGTGGGACAATTGAAAATTTTAGTGGGTCTATAATTCGTCCGGTCTTTTTCGCTTGTTACGGAAGGCGGTGATGATGAGTCCCATTCTTACCGCCCGCCTTACGGATTACTCTCTCTTAATCTCTCTAGCGTAGAGACTAGAGTTAGTTGCACAAATTGTTGCACAATGTCACACGACATGGGTACCTTGTCAGCTTGTTTGCATTACTTTAGGTCATATTATGTAACTGTTGTAAGTGCGGGTAATTTGTTCTCCTTGAAACATCTTTGACGCCCCCGTCACTCACCAACGTCTCCTCCTTATCCACAAACCGGATACTCAATACCGTATTCTATACAGTGCATAATTCTCTTCTATAAATTACAACTTGTAACCTAGTGGGAGAGGGGCACCGTCGCATCTGATAGGCCTGTTAGTATCCTATCAACACATCAGCTTAGAAGGGCTTCATTACTAGGCGTGACCATTCATAAATCGTATTTGAGAAAGCTGCTTTGAGTCTTGATTTGTTCGTTGTGATCATTAGGGGGCTGATGCAAGCCAAGACTCCAGCTTGAAAGCCCGTTTCCCGGGTCCCACCAAGGACTTCGTCACCCCTCCACGACATAAGAGCTGTGATTCAAACCTGACCGCAACGGTCATCTTAGATACAGATTTGTATACAAATAGTAGCTAAATCTTGGATTAGCGTAGCCTATTTATCTTTGGTACCTGCCTAACCTAGCTGATTTAAATCCTCTAAGCCATTGTCAATTTCCTTTTCTATGAGGTCTAGATATCTAGATTCCTCACCACCTTTTTGCCAAACCACCATTTGACCTACATATTACTTACAACCCCATCATATCCAACATGGAGAGTTTTCTGCAAAAGGCAGAAGATGCCTTTAAAGATGTGAAGGAGGCCTTAAAGGGGACCAGTGAAGAAGATCCCCAGCAGGATGATGGAGGCGCCGTTGAGCAACAGGCGCCCAGCAACTATCGT